GGTACTTACAGTGGTACTTAGAGGTACTTATTGTGGTACTTAGAGGTACTTATTGTGGTACTTAGAGGTACTTATTGTGGTACTTACAGAGGTACTTACAGTGGTACTTACAGAGGTACTTACAGTGGTACTTAGAGAGGTACTTACAGTGGTACTTAGAGGTACTTACAGTGGTACTTACAGTGGTACTTCTAGGTACTTATTGTGGTACTTACAGAGGTACTTACAGTGGTACTTCTAGGTACTTATTGTGATAATTCTAGATACAGCTGTAACTTAGTAATTCAAGGATACTACAGCATTATTCCTATGTAGTAAATGTGGTACCAGGTACTTGGCAGCAAGTACCAAGTACCTGGTACTTGCTGGTAAGTACCTGGTAAGTACCTGGTACTTGCTGGAAAGTACATGGTATACTATATAATTACTGGTATTATCACTAGTACTTATGGGTAAGTCCTTTGTCTTATTATGGGCCAGTTCCTATGGTAAGTACCTGGTACTTGCTGTATAATTACTGGTGTTATCACTGGTACTTATGGTGAAGTCTTTGACATATTACCAAGTCATTTGTATGTGGCCAAGTCCTTTGTCTGTGGCTAGTACCAGGTACTACCTGGTACTTACTGTGCTGCCAAGTACCTGGTACTTGCTGCCAAGTACCTGGTACTTGCTGCCAAGTACCTGGTACTTGCTGCCAAGTCTTACTGGTGTGTTAATGTGTAATTCTTGTTACTTGGGTTGGGTACCTAGTTCTTGCAGTGTTTCCCTTGTCCTTGAAACTTGTTTTGAAATATGCATTAAATGTATTTATACTGTCCTTTCTGTGCTACTTATTCCATATTAATAAAGACGTTTGTTTTACATAATGTTGTTTTATGTTTTATAGTCAAACAATCCTACAAATGACCTCTGTATGTATGTATGTAGAAGTACCACATTTACTACATAGGAATAATGCTGTAGTATCCTTGAATTACTAAGTTACAGCTGTATCTAGAATTATCACAATAAGTACCTAGAAGTACCACTGTAAGTACCTCTGTAAGTACCACAATAAGTACCTAGAAGTACCACTGTAAGTACCACTGTAAGTACCTCTAAGTACCACTGTAAGTACCTAGAAGTACCACTGTAAGTACCTCTGTAAGTACCACAATAAGTACCTCTAAGTACCACTGTAAGTACCACAATAAGTACCACTGTAAGTACCTCTAAGTACCACAATAAGTACCTAGAAGTACCACTGTAAGTACCACAATAAGTACCTAGAAGTACCACTGTAAGTACCACAATAAGTACCACTGTAAGTACCTCTAAGTACCACAATAAGTACCTAGAAGTACCACTGTAAGTACCTCTGTAAGTACCACAATAAGTACCTAGAAGTACCACTGTAAGTACCTCTGTAAGTACCACAATAAGTACCTAGAAGTACCACTGTAAGTACCTCTGTAAGTACCACAGTAAGTACCTAGAAGTACCACTGTAAGTACCTAGAAGTACCACTGTAAGTACCATGGACTTACCGGCCCGTAATGTAAAGTGTTACCCTAATTTCTTCATTTCATATTATCTTTTCCCATTTCAGCTATTCCAAGTTCTGCATCCTCTTTTCACAATCGATACTTCATGTCCTGCTTCACAAAATCCAATGTTTGATAGGATCTTACCCTGTCCTGTCAACTTACTGACCAAAGAAATGAACGGCCCACTCATTTAGATGGTATTGTCCATTCAAGTCTGGTCATGCTTCAGGGAGCACTAAGCTGAGACTGCAGGAGGTGACTGCGGTTTTATTGTGCAATCCCCTCTCAACAATATTCTTCTTTCATATATCTCCTGTCCAATCTTTTTGAGCCCTTCAATATCTCTGATCTGACTTATGGACCCAGGTCCATATTCGTGCAGTCGTTTGGGAGGAAGACAAACATGTAAAGAAAATGTTTGTTGAAAAGCAAAGGCACGTGGCAGATATGATTTGGGATCTACACTAAATTGTCAACAGTAATGAGGCTTTGAATGTTGACAATACAAGCAGCGTTAAAACCTCACCGTTTTCTCCTGCAAGATGACAGATGCATTTAGTTTTTAGCCAAACATTTGCCAGGAGTTTGTGTTTCTGAGAGAAGAGGCGGTGCTTGAGTGATGAGTTTGTCTTGCCTGTTTGGGTTGGCGTGGGCAGTGGAGAATAAAAGTGCAGTGGCGTTGTTCAGCATGGGAGGACTTCTGACTCCTCACAGTTTTCCCAGACAGGACTCCACATGAGAAAAATATGGGCTATGACGACTCATTGATGACGTCCACATGGAGCACAGAATGTGGTGGAACATACTTCACTCTAAGCAATTAAGCCTTTATTCATCTCATCTAACAAAAAACAAAAAACATCTGCAATAGGTAAAATCCTGGTAGCCCTGGGCAACAACATCTGGAGATCCCTGGGTGCTATACTATGGCGACCGCTGCTCCTGACAGGTTGCCTCAGTGGGATTGCAGGATGGGTCAAATGCAGAGGACGAATATAGTAATTAAAGTAAAAGATCAAATGTAAATAAAGTATACCTACAACCTCAAGTTTACAAAAATCATGTCTTTACTATTAGGAAACTTCCCTTTGGTCTCAATAGAAATTATGACATTAATAAACTACTGCAACTTTGAATAGAGTAAATGATAAGAGCGTTCTACCTGAGACCTGGAGAATAATGATACGATTGTCACAGTTGGAGATACAGAGAGTCTTGTTGAAAAAGAAAACTGATGCTGCAGTCACCACACACAGCCCAAGTGTGCTGTGCTTATTTTATCAGGTGCATGGGTTCCCATTCCCCAGACGCTGACCCCAACTCCCCTCTCTGGCTGCCAATCAGTCGCTGTTACAGTGTTCAGTGTTTATCCATGTCCTAATCCTGGCCTTCCAGCACCTCAGGAGACTTACTTCATCAAATGTCTTCAGAGCTCATTAGAAACAGTGAGGTTTCGCTTACAGCTCATCTGGACACAGGGAGCGGTGGAGGGCTCTTCATGCCAACACTGCCTTATACAGCAACACAACAACCATTTAAATTAGTTCAGGAAGCTTCATTTTGTCTTTTTAAGTTATTTGGTAAAGAAGTATGCCGCCAAAACAAGTGAAGGTAATAACATCGCAATCTTACATATGTCTGGTATAGAAGAACTAAATAAATTAACGATTTTAAATATTTCTATGAATACAAAGTGGCCCTTTTTATTCAAAGTAAGCATCTATAGGTTAGCTCTGTCAATGGTGATTTTGTTGGCTGTTGCAAGCGCATTATTTTGAAGCTCTTAAAAATTGGATGCTGAGGATTTAAATTATCTTTGCAAATAGAAGAACACAAGTTCAAAACCACTCTTCATGATATGCAGTTTATTATTATTATTATTTCTATATTTAATGAAGTATGATTTATGTAAACAAGCCTCATGCATTTAATAAATGATTTGCTGTTTATGTGGTTGTTAAGAATTATACTCAATGACATTATTACACCTCAATGTGTTGTTGCATGTGCCATGCAGCAAGATGGTGCAAAGATGACGACAAAGAGCCACATTTAGTTTTTACAGTTGATAAAATCACATTGTGTAATTAATTAAACTAAACTATTTGTTTGAATATTTGATCACCTTTACTGGAATGACCTTTGTGTAAAAACGTGAATTGAAGTCAACCAACAATTGATTTATTAAAATGAGTTGATGAAATCACCCATTTCAAACAAATCTAGGTCAAAATTATACTTATCTCTTTCAAAGAGCAGTGTGTATGATGTTATTTTTATTATCTGGAAGATACCCAAACCGCTTTTTTCATCTTAAAATATTACATTTTTGGTTGAGTTTTACAATCTCCAAAATAAGAATGGATTTAATTATTCAGTCATTATGAAGAGAATAGATTAGAACAATCTCCGCCTCTTTAGCTCACCGCTGAATTAGATCATATTTGCCAATGCTCCTGTAATTGTGTAGTGTAATTATTGGATTAATTTGTCAAAACGGCACACCACTTTAAGATAAACTATGTCAGTTAAAGATAAACTATGTCAGAGAAAAATAAATTTTATATATACATAGCTATAATATATTTTTTCCAATGTTGTTTTCGGAGTTTTCCTCTACTGTATATATTTTTGCCTCCATAAAAGGATGAATGAATTTGTAGTAAGTGGATAATGCTTTCTTTTGAAACCTTTATATAAATGCATGACATTTCAAAATTAAGCAATAGGCTAAACACCATGTTGTTTACTTTTTATTTTCTATGTCATACTCTTGGTGTATGGAATCCAGAATTCCCGTTGACCTGCAGACCTATTATAATAATTACAATGAGTGCAATACTGCTCATGTAATACAGGGAAAACACACTCTACCCTTTCTATTTAAAAGAAGAAATTTAACCAGAGTTATGGAAGAAGAAGAAGGTCTAATTATTCAACAGTATAGGTCAAAAAAAGATACTCAAATCCCGTTTGACTGAGGAAAACACGTCTGGCCCCGCAGACAGAGGCCTCGCGCTGGGCCACACTGAGCGCGCGTGCCATCAGGATTTCACGCACTAATCTTCTGAAACGTGCACCTGGACGTCACGTGATATATGAGCGTGTGGATGTTGTGATCTTATTAAGTGAATATTCGGCTATGCCATTTTGAGTATAGGCCTAATGCACATTTTGCATCTAATGGTTTTTTGTGTGTGTTTTTTTTTGTGTAGCAGCAGCAGTGTCTCATTGTTTATTTCAAGCCAATAGGCCTTAACATTCGGACTCAAGCAAGAAAATAAATTCACGGAAAGAGAAAAATAAACTTTAATATCAAACTTTATTATGCTATCTTCCAGAAACGCAATTTAAATATCTTAGTGATGTCAGATGGAGATTGTGGCAGAGTGAAAAATGTCTTAATGAATGCTCTCCAGTCTTTTTGGGCACGTTACAGTCCGTTACCTGAGAATTGTCCGTGCACCCGGATCACTGTTTTGGCAGAGCGGCCACAGAGCGCTCTTCCTGAATCTTGTGATATTCCTGGACCGTGAGAAGTTGAGGAGCCGCGGGGGAGAAGAGCGGCGCCCCGTACCCAGGACCTATGGGACTGTAGGCTGCGCACCGCGCCAGAGGCTGCGAGTGGAGATAAGCTTTGGCTGAGAGCGCGCCTCTGGAGAAGAAGCTGGACAGAGCTGGGAGCAGACTGCTGACCGGCGGGATGGACGCGGTGCACGGAGATGGTGCGTGCTGGAAGTATGGGTACAGTTCCAGTCCGGGGAGCGGCAGGGCTCCTGCTCCAAGTCCATAGGGTCCGTGCGTAAAGCCTGGCATCATACTAGGTTCCAGGTGCTGCTCTTTGAGCGCCTCGAACCGGAAATGTTGCCGCTTGAAACGTTTACGTCTGCGCAAGAAGCTGCCATTCTCGAACATGTCCGCGGAGTTCGGGTCCAGAGTCCAGTAGTTGCCTTTGCCAGGGTTCCCAGGCTCCCGTGGCATTTTCACGAAGCAGTCGTTAAGCGACAAGTTGTGCCTGATGGAGTTCTGCCACGCAGGGAATTTCTCACGGTAGTAAGCAAAGCGGTGGCTAATGAAGTCACAAATCTCGCTAAGGGTCAGTCTCTTCTTTGGACTTTGAAGGATAGCCATCGTGATCAGCGCTATGTATGAATACGGCGGCTTGACAGACGTAGGTCCTTTGGGTTTGGGTGGTGGACACACGGGAGCGGAGGAATCACCGTGAGCCTCCGGGCTGGACTGGTCCTGACTCTGAGCCCCGTCCTCCGCGTACTCCTTCACTTCTTCCCCAACGACATCGATCAGTGCGTCCTCCATGACTCCAGACCAGGCACATAGTCGAGACTGGAACCAGCAGTGTCACCTGCGGCAGGTGGTTCAAGGCTACAGTAACCAACTACTTTTAAGCATAAAGCTCAGCATCACGAACTATTAGAAAAGAGTTGTCCGTTCACGTGCTGCCACGTAGCCTGCACTAGTGTGGCATAGTTACGTTTAAAGTGGTTCTGAATTAGTCCCGAGTCCGATATGTGCTCAAGATTGCGAAGACTGCACAAGGTGAGGACGTGCGTCTTCGGAAAATGCTTGCATCCTTTGAGAGAGCGCTGCTGCTGCAGAGGGATGTGATGTCACACAGGCTGATGAGAAGCGTCCGGACCAATCACGGCTCAAGGCAAAGAGGCCAAGACCAGCGCGACTGTGAAATCCTGGCATCAACCATCGCACACGCTCTGCGACGTAACTTATTTATTATCAAACAATCATGGTCCAACCTTAGGACAGCAGATAAAGAGGTGTAGCTTTTTGAACACATTTTACAAATATATTCAAAATGAATGTGTAAAACAGCACATCTAAAGGAGTTCCAACACAATTAGCCAACACGTCATGGGGAAGTATTTGAAATGACTGAGAAAATAAATAATAATAAGAAAACAGCAACAAACGACGCACATATGTCTCCTTTATCACACACTTTATCAACGCTCATTGGCTCATCTAAGGAGAACGTTACAGGCCTCTGTCAATACTGATTCATGATTTACCACAGCTTCTAAGAAATAATTCTTTAGAGGAGAGAGTTCAGTTTCTGGATCAAAATGGGATATTCACGCGAGACTCTAAATCGGACGCGCGTGCAGAGAGCTATTGAGTAAACGTTTATTTGTGTTTAATAGAACCCTTTCTTGGGGATTCCCATATTTCCTGTCTCTAATCGATGGCCTGAGGCGTGGGTCTGTGTCCGGGCTGGGTGGCCCGAACAGGACCGGGGAGCTGCACATCATTTTCCAAATTCATCACGCATGTCCGCAGATCTGAAGCAGCGGCGCGCTGTGTGGCTCCAATGTTCGCGTCACAACAGTGCACTGCAGGCTCCAGGACTCTGAACAGCACACGCTACAATCCGGGAGTTGGCAAGGACAATAGAAAGACGAACTTAAACAATAAAGACTTAATTTAATAAAAATAAAAAAGACCAATATAGACAAACAGAATGTAAAAGATGCAGTCCAGATCCCAAATCCAGGTCTCTATAAAAGGTCCCAATAACATATTTTCATTGGGAAAAAACTTTCTCCTATTCCTGCAAGCTCCCAAACGAGTTCATCACACCAATTAAAGTTATAATTACATGTTGATCTTTATCAAAACATATAGAATCCCCAGCTCAGCTCCATAACAAAAACTGGTCTAAATGTTTTATTATGTGATTTTGTCATAACACACCTGGCTATCTGGTATATTTCTCTCCTATATAATCCACACGGTTTGTCCCAAAAGAAAGAATCTTGTAAAAGTCAAATGATGTGAACGTTCAACCACAACACACTGTCTTCATCTCATTAGAATAAAAGAATCTTCTACATACTAAGAAGTGGACAGAGAGCTGATTGGCTGAGTGAGGGTGGACCTCTCATTCACTTTTCAAAGTATTTATAGTTATGAAAGGCCATAAAACGCATGCATGTAAAAGCTCCTGAATCACTATTCTGAGAGCATGGAACTGTGTATTTTATTACATTGATTACCCCGCTGTAAGCCAGTCCTCAAAGATTTAAGATAAAGCCAAAGCATAAAGCTTTTGATTTAGTTGTCAAAATAAATATATTACAAAAACTTGCAAACTCGTGCTATAGAGTATCATACTCCTCAGCTACATGAATATTCACAGTGTAATATGGAACTGTTCAATGCAGCAGCTGTTTGACCTAAAGAAAGGCGCAGTGCAACAATCCCATCCTTTGTGAAGACTCCTGTTTGTTTTTTGTGCTGAAGGATGAGTGTGGCCACCACCAAAGACGAGAGAAACAAAATAAAACGGAAGAGAACCACAGGAGCCTGGAGGGATCTCTGTGCGCATAATGAACCTATACCTCGACACATGCCTTTGGAGAGCTGAACTTACCTCACTGCAGGTCAAAGCCGAGGCTACTTAAGATAAAATGTTTTCTTATGGAGACTCTTTGCATGATCTGAGCTGGGATAAAAAAGTCCAGCCGGTTGTTTTTGGTTCGAGAGGCTGAGGCTGGCTTCAAAGCATGGGGTTTATTTTCACTTAATGCCCCCCTCCTCTCATCTTGATCCTCTTAAAGTTTTGGCAGCACACTGGACAATAATAATATGTGTAATTTAAGGTATCATAGTTGTATGAGAAGCAGGAGGAAGAGAGCTGCAGCCGCACACACGCTTTAAGGGGAGGAAGCTGTATGAATTTCACAAGCTGCGCAGGTCATTAACACAACTTTTACAAGCTCACAAATGACACTTGTAGATGTATATAGTCCTTGTATAATGCAGATTCATTTACTTGAACAAATATTACAATTAGCAAGAATGTTAAAAAGAACACGTGTGATGGGACTATAGTGCATGCTCCAAGTAAATAAAACATATATATTACTTGCCTCAGCACTCTGATCCATCAAGTCAAAAGACAGGAAGTAGGCCACTAAAAGAAGGAAAGAGAAGAGGCGTATTACTTTATTTGTTTTACTGTTGATAATTGACTCACAGCTTGTAAAATCCCCCGCTAAAAATCTGAGAATTTGAATATTTTGAAAATGGACTGAAAGCCATAAAAATGATTACATATAAATAAGCTTGACAAGTCACACTATGAGTCTCGGTCATATTTGGCTTCAATTAAACATTAAAAATGAACTTTTGAGCAATATTTAAATTTTCCAAGTTTCATCTGTAGATAAAATACATACATGGCCCCTTGAAGTGTGGAATCACAAATAATTGTACATGATTTCCATGAGATATCACCACTTTAATCATGTGCTAACATTACATAAGGGTTTTCTAATAAACATTTAGGCACAGTTGCATTAGAACACTGGGGTGATGGGTGCTGTATATGCCCCTCATACACAGCTATTCCATTAAAAATAAATCTGTTTCCAGTTTGACAATTAACTCAACGCCAGATTTTAGATATGTTCAATTAAAAAAACATTGATTTTCTTTCTAAATATGGACATTTCAAAGTGACTTTCTAAAATGTTATTAAGGATTAAGTATTAAGAGTCCAGCCATTGACCAAACAGTAACATCGTCATAAGTCTAAATTAAGAGTTAAGAATGAGAACAAATATGTCATTATTGTGGATAAGGAATGTATTCACACTTCGACACATTCCACATGATAACTAGGACTAAACATTAAACTTGGAATAAAAATAAACCAGGACATACCAACACATGCCCATAGACAACAGCAAAGTTTTCATAATTAAAGCTAATCTACAAGGTGAAATAATCATTCACGTGACTATAGAAAAGAATACACACTAATGCAACTTAAAACAGAAGTTGTCACTTAATAGATATTAATTAATGATATTTGTATATTAAAGTTCCCCTGAACATATAATGGTCCGGATGGGCTGTGAAAATGGTTTATTTTGCTTCTAAATAAAATGTGTGGGCCATAATTTAGGACATTTCAAAATAGTGTTATCAAAATTAATTGGAAATGTGTGCCCTTCATATTCATGGATATTTTGTGTCAAAGGGAATCATAAAAAAGTTAGTAAACTTAGAGAATGCTGTAAATCCAAACTTACTCCAGACAGCTACAGCAGTGGCACCTGGGCGACACCTGGTGGTGAATGAACAGCCTGGTGAAGTCTGGTCAAAGCCATAGGCATGCAGTCAAAACAGAAGATTAGCGTTAGTTCTGCTATATTATTTAGAAATAATAATAAAACAAAAACATTGCAATGCTACTTATATCATCGGCATTTATCCTTGCTAAACCTAATCAGAATATTGATGCATAGGCAAATCACAGATGCTAACGCTAATTGATTAGCTTAGCTAGCGATTTAAGCTAATAATCAAAATTGGCATTAAACATTCTGAAGATATTATAGACAGCCATTGAGCTGTAGCTTAGTGCTATTAATGTGTTGTTTAAAAAAAGCTGTAAAGATTAGATAAGAACAAAGAAACACCAATGTGCAGATTCAGATCAGCTCTTGGATCAGATCCATTTGGCGCAAATGGCGGCCATGGCTGCTCAAACACTGACGTAAGTAACCGCCAAACGTTACGATTACTTAATGTTACGTTTACTTCTAATACATAGTTCCCACATGACGTCACTACATACGGGGATTTGCCGACCCGGCGCCATTTGTGTTGGCATTCTGTGGGCAAAACAATAGAAAAAGAAGCTGAAACGTGTTAATGTCGTGATAAAGTTGAAAATGGTCATCTCCTGCTGGGTCAATGGATGTTCAAATCGTGCCGGAGGTTCCGTTAAACTTGGATTTTACAGTATACCCATCATTAGACTTCATGAATGTGAGAAGACTAAGCTTTTGTCAGAACAACCACGGAGGTTATGGCTTGCGAAGATAAACAGGCAAGAAACTCCCTCAAAACACGCAAGAATATGCTCGGAGCACTTTGTGTCAGGTGCGTATCGTATCTTATAATGTGTTGACAGACGTAATTTACTCAGTACTAACTTGTGTATGCTGATAGCTGGTAACTTGAGAGTTTCATTATTTAGCGTTAGATTACTTTATTATGAGGAGGATCGGTGTCGCGTCCGAGGCTCTCGAGGGCAACGTAAATGTATTAAATAGATAATAATAGTTCTATGGTGGGCTAAAACAATGTTCACAAACAGCATTGCTTCTGTAAAAAGATCTGTGTCATAAAATAAACTGCTCTTTACGCCTGGAAAAATCAGTTGCCCACTGTGTGCTGCTAGTGTGACCTATCACAGCTACCATACTCGTGTCTACACATGCGCAGTGGTGGGGGCTAGAGGCGAATTAGCTATGAGAGCACCGGAGTGT